CGAGAAGAAAGAAAAGAGGAATGGGAAAATGGTGAGAATCGGTATAGCGTCGTTAAGATGAGGATAATGTATAGATATATATATCTGCGCCAGTGAAATCGGTTCTCAGCCATATCATCACCTAGAGTCTCCAACCACTGTTGGTTTCTCTTGTCCCATCAACCCCAACCGGCTAACCTGCACCTCCCCACTGTCAAAGACTTCATACATTGATGCGATGTTTCAGTCTGGCCACCTCATACCTTTTTCCTGCCTGAACCTACTTCGACCGACATTATGTGACGAGGCAGACGGCTACTAGGCATACGCAACACATGCCCCAGCCAGCCATCTCAGCCGATGAAATTTCACAATATTGTCAGCTAACTTACCTCTTCTTCCTACATCTGACCTCTGCGTTACTCACGTGGTGACACCACGGAATACGGCCTATACTATGAAGGTAACCATGGTCAAACACCTGAAGCCTTCTCATGTCTTCCACCTTCAATGGCCATGTTTCACAGTCATAGAGTAGAACAGAGTGGACTGCTGTGCAGGTACACGGCACCCTTAATGGACAGTCGGGTATGATGGCGGTGCCATAGATGGCGAAAATTGGCAAAAGCTAATCGAGCCTTTTGTATCCGTGCAGAGATTTCATCGTTCACTGAGCCACCAGAGCAGGGTTGATCCTACTTCCCAGGTAAGTGAAGTAGACGATGCACTCAACCACTTCACTCTCTATTGTTAGCCGTGGCACTGCTGAAGACCAATCCTGGAGCAACAATTTGCATTTGGGTGATGAGAAACGCATCCTAATGACTCTGAAGTTGCCACCCAACATGTCCAGAAGACTCTGCATCTTGTCAGCGTCTGCACCTAACTGGACTATGTCATCTGCATATTCTAGGTGTAACGGGAATTCTCCTATGATTAGGTCAACTTCTGTGTAACCTGGTGACGAGAGGGAGACCTCCATAAGGATATCTATGATGAAACTGAATAGGAATGGAGACAGTGGGCATCACTGACGGAAACCACTCATTGAGCATAGCTCCATGGACATATCCCCACAGGCTCTAACACGCTCAGAAGTGTTTGAGTAGAGAGCTTTCAATAAGGTGATGTACTTACTAGGCACGCCTTTCAGTGAGGGACATTGCCATAAGACTTCTCGATCAATGGAGTCAAATGCCACCTTCAGGTAGAGAAATACAGCTAATTTCAGTCGTCGGTAAGCGTGTCTATGTCACAGGAGCTGACAAAGTGTGGATATTTGGTCTACACATCCACAGCCGGGTCTAAATCCTGCCTGGTTTTCTTGGGCTTGCTGTTCCCGAGCTCCACTCAGGCGTCGGAGAATTATAGGTCCTAGAATTTGGAATACTATGTTCGTCAGACTGATTCCTCTGTGGTTATCATCGGGTAGACTTCTCGCCTTTCATGAAGACTGGAATAATCAGGACCAGTATCACTGTGTACTAAATGAAATATACAACCCAAAATGGAATCATCGTCTATCATAGTGTCCAGTTTTGATATTGACGATAGAATTTTCTATATGTATTGAACAGGTGCCAAATCATATCTGTTCCCTGTATATGACATTGACTAGATGAAAGATCTACTGGAAAAAAATGTTATGGGTAAAATAATCGTGTTTATCCCATTAAGCAAAATTAATTTAGTTTTACCAATTCGCCTACAATGATTTACAGGTGAAATATGTAGGTCAGAGCAGTCAACTAGGTACAATTAGGCTATCCGAACAAATATCAGCAGCTAAATGGAGATTGATAGACTCTAGTAAGCTAAGAAATCTAGAGAAAACCTCACCCATTATGATGCATGGAGTAAACTGGTATCACACAATTAGTTGGGACTAAATGACACTCCATGAAACCAACTAGACAGAATTCAATGAGAAGTTTGTTAACGAATCCGTCTCCATCAAATCTATAGGAAATATATGCAATAAAAATAATTTGACGCCAACTGTATTACTACTATAATTACTCGTCCTTTCGGTTCCTAGAGGAACATAGGGATTCAGTATCATGTCGATATTTCACTTTCTCTACAATCCTTTGAACATCGCTCCACAACTGCCCACAACCTTTCATTTCTTCCTCATACACCATCTCCTCCATGTCACCCTCACCTAGGAAGCCCAACTCGTCCTCTCCCATTTGACTTCCACTCCACTCCAAGGCCTGGCCTCACTCGTCATCTCCTAAAACTCCCTTCTCACTATATACCCAATCCATCTACACATTCTCATTCTGTATATTCGTTGCGAGGTGGCTTCTTGCTTCGTTGACTCGCTACCAGCCAGAGTCACTTCCTCCTTGCTTATTCTTTCTTCCCTACTCATCTCATCTTCACTATCCAGTGAGCATAGGTGACAGCTGTTGATCATGTATGTCTACAGTTTGTTGGAAATGCTTATCGTAACGCACGGCCAAGTCTCTCAACCATCACATAGAAGCAAGCAATGACTTACTTGACTGACAGTGTTGAAAATCCGGATATTGTCCACGCTTTATGCTGAGTGCAGTGCAGTGCAGTAGATGCCCACAGTTAATCCAGACAAACGTGGGCCCGTCTTGTTGTCTTTCCGATCGTGGCTGTCTGGCTTCGGCATCCTCATCTGTGCCTGTGCCTCCTCTGGTTGAAACGATCGTGCCCAAGTAGCAGTGTAGGTGAAAGAGACAACTTCCTTTAGATTTCTCCCGTTGTTGTTGGTTGAGTATATTTATCCCCTCTGTCTTCTCTATGCTCACATGAAGTCTCGTGGATGCGGATGATGACGCTTTGAGCAGAATTTATTGTTTATATTCAACATATCGAAGTAAGCATACGTCTTTCAACCTTCACTTATGTAGTCCAACAGTTTCTCAGTTTACAAATTTTAGTGGTTGTAGAATCTTCCAAGTATCTGCAATGTCTGGTGAATCATTCCAGTTACATGTGTTCAGTGTTTATTCGACGAATACAGGATTTTATGATCAATCTTTCCTTTCACCTAGTTAGGTTTACTGGGCTTTAAAATTATCACTTTGTCCCATCTCATGGAGTAATTAAGGGTCAGTGTCTGCATAGAGATCAACAAACTTTTCTCTGAATCGCTTATCTTAGTAGAGTCTACCATTGTGTGTTTCGATAAATTTCTCCGCTCGATTATTGACTGAACATAATCAACTTGTCTATTATTTAGTTATTCATTTGTCCCTTGCGTTCCTAGTGAAACATACGGCTTCAGTAACACATCTCCATTCCACTCTCTGCTCTGCAATCTTTTGAACATCGCTCCACAACTTCCCACAAGCTATCATTTCTTCCTCATACACCATCTCCTTCATGTCACCCTCACCTCAAACGCCTATCTCGTTGTTTACCATTTTGATTCCACTTGACCACCTAGTCTGGCACGTGATGTCCCCAACACGTCTTCTCAGTGTATGCGAAATCCAGTTCATCTCCACTTTCTTCATCTGCATATTTATTGAGTGACAGGTTCTTGCTTCGTTGGTACATTGCCAGCCAGCCACAGTTCCTTCTTGCTCATTCTTATTATTCTGGCCATCTGATCACCATCTTCAGTAACGAGCCAGCATAGGCAGTCGTTGATGAATATCTGTAGTTTGTTGGAAATACCTTTCGTAATGCGCCAAGTCTCTGAACCATCACACAGAAGCACTGACTTGACTGGATTGGTGTTGAAAATCCGGATCTTGTTCACACTTTATGCTGAGTACAGTGCATAAGATCTCTACACTGGTTTTAGGTTAATGATCGCCCATCTTGCTGTCTTTCCGATCCTGGCTGGCTTTGACATCCTCGTCTGTGCCTGTGACGCCACCTGTAGTTGAAACGCTGCTGCCTACATAGGTGTAGGAGAAAGAGACTACTTCCCTTAAGTTTCTCCCCGTGATGGAGATTGGTGCTTGTTGTTGTTGGTGGTGGAGTTGGTTGGGTATCTTCATCACCTCTTGTACTTATAAACTGCTTAATAAATTCTAGAGAGTAACTATGAAAAAAAATAGTATCTCTTCAACATGTTTCACTGATTTATTCAGATTTTCTGACTTACTTGTCAAACTCTTGTTACATTAGCCTTGGGAAAGTGTTTACATAACCAAGAAGTCAAGCACTTTGAACATAGGCATTTGGCAACACTCATGTAATCTCATTCAAGTTGTAAGAATTCACGTCAAACATCAACAAAACCATACTGTTCAGCTAAGCTTATCATATTGCATTTGAAAGGATTTCGAAATATTTCAAGTCAATATTCATAGTAAACTGACATCAATTAGAGAAACGATGGAAGCCTGAAAGCACTGGCCACCTATCTCATCCTTGTATGGGACTCTTCAGCAGTGAACTCCTACGACACTGCTAGGTCACGGACCTATCACTCAACAAATATGCAGGTGAAGAAAGTGGAGATGGACCGGATTGCGCATACACTGAAAAGACCATTCGGGAACATCACGCGCCAGGCCAGGCACTCGAGTGGAACACAGATGGGAAGGGACGAGTTGGGCGTCAGAGGTGAGGGTGACATTGAGGAGATCGTGCGAGGAGTAAATGAGAGCTTGTGGGCTGTCGTGAAACCAGGTTCAAAAGATTGCAGAGCAGAGAGTGGAATGGAGACGTGCTACTGAAGCCCTATATTCCGTTAAGAACCCAAGGGACAAATAAATAATAAATAAATGAAATCAAAGACGAAGGTGATATAAGGATAGAGACAAAGGACTAGTCTACAGAGGAATGAATCAAAGTATAATTTATGCTATTGCTTCTTCTACAATTAGATAAACAGACGATGGATCAGTCATTCAACAGTATCATTTTAAACGCAAACAATAAGGTGGATGAACAATCAACTAGGAGTTTGTTGTACGTTAACAGCTGACAATCGATATCCATACATTATTAGGGCGCCATCTTAGTATTCAAATTATAAGTATATTAAAACAGTTTTTTTTTGTTGAAAAAAAGATTAAACTTACCGCCCCACTTTTATCCTTCAAACATTGTACAATATAATGGATTGTTTTAGTAATATCTACATTTTGTTCATTAGAATTTTTTAAAATAAACGCTACACTATAAAGTGTATTTGTACGTATACGAAAATTTTGATTCTTTGAATATATCCATAATTCATCAAGTATGAGATTAGAAGAGAAATGTTTTAATAATTTACTGAGTATATCATAGATTATCTTATGTATTGGTTTTAAATTGTTTGCAAAAATTGAATTGAATAATTGAAATATTTCCTTGATGTTTGAATATACTACAAAAGTTGGTAGATGATTCAGTAACATCTGTAAAGTGATAAGAAATAGAATAGCATTATTTCAAGTTGTTATTCATTGTAGACTGACATCAGTTGGAGGAACAAAGGAAATCTGAGAGCACTGGACAGCTGTTTTGTGCTAGTGTAGTGGGCGTTGCTGATAAGATTACATATAAGTAGTATATGTCGAGAGGGTGGCAGGAATAATAGAGAATTACCAGCAATGGGTAAGGTTTCGGCCAAGAACAACGCGAGGGACAACGCAGGCGTAGTACAGTGCATACTGCTGATAAGAATGTATGAAGAGCAGATCAAAAGAGAAGCAGAGGAGGAAACGAAGACATTTGCAAATGACTGGTTTAGTGCAAGGTACACCATATGTAACAAGTACCGTTGCAGTCCTCCACAGTTCACGTTCTCGCCGATTATTGTCGTCTCTCTTCACTATTGTGGGACCCCTCAGCAGAGAGCAACTACGGCTCCGCCAATCCAAACTTAGGACCCCTAAACTCCGTGGCCAGCACTTTACCATTGGCCCAACTGGTTCAGAATCCAGTGCTCCGTATTTCCGACTTCTGTTAACTCACGATATAGCGCAACCACTACTCAGTGTCGTTATCGAGTAACTGTCCTCATCACCATCAGGCACTGCTCCCACCGGTCACGACTTCTCATTGGAACTTCGGGAATACATCTGAAAGCTAGTCACCACCAATGACCACTAGTTAAATTGAATTTTGAGGGAGTTGTGGGGATTTTGGAAATATTTCAAATTGTTATTTACCGTAGACTGATATCAGTTGGAGGAACAAAGGGAACTTGAGAACACTGGACAGCTGTTTCGTCCCACTACAAGACTCTTCAACGGTGTGCACCCATGATCCCCTCCCAGGGATTGAACCCGCAACCTTCAGGTTCTGTGTCTCAGCACTTTACCATTGAGTCACTGGGTTGGGATCCAGTGGTCCATATTTCCAACTTCTATTAGCTCACGATATAGCGCAACCGCCACCCAATGTCATTGTTGAGTACCTATCCTCACGATCATCAGGCTTTGCCCCCACTGGTCATGACTACTCATTCTCCCAGGTTTTCTTTCCTCCTCCAACTGATGTCAGTCTACAATGAATACCAACCTAAAAGATTTCCGAAATCCCCACAACTCTTTCGAAATTCAATTTAACTAGTGGTCATTGGTGGTGACTAGCTTTCAGAGGTATTCCCGAAGTTCCAATGAGAAGTCGTGACCGGTGGGAGCAAAGCCTGATGGTGATGAGGACGGATACTCAATGATGACATCGGGTGGTGGTTGCGTTATATCGTGAGCTTATAGAAGTTGGAAATATGGACGATTGGATTCCACCGACCCAGTGGCTAGGTCAACGGTAACGTGCTGGCCATGGAACCTAAAGGTTGTGGATTCGATCCCTGGGGGGTGGGGGGGGGGATCGTGGGTACTCACTGCTGAGGAGTCCCATACTAGTTGCACAAAACAGCTGTCCAGTGCTCCCAAGTTTCCTTTGTTCCTCCAACTGATGTCAGTCAACGATGAGTAACAACTTGAAATATTTCCAAAATCCCGACAATTCCCTCAGAATTCAATTTAACATTATTATTTTCTTTCAGCTGGATGGTTCAATCAAGAAGAGTTCATTGTCATTCTAGACAAGATTATCAATATCTTAAACTTCAAGAAAATGTATGTTATCAGATGTTCTTCACAAATGGTTTAGTAGCTTAAGGTGATAGATTATCTTATATGTGACTGGTTGTCATTGTCTCTATATTGATTACGATTGTCTATCCTGCTAAGATAAACTGTGACTTTCTTGGTGTTTAAATTGATTTGTTACTGAAGTAGCAACAGTTCAACAATATAGAAAACCAGTTTTTTGTAGAAATAATCTTCAAAAGAGGGTAGATAAGTTGTCATACATCAAACTTACGGAGAAAAGAAGAAAATTATTTAATAAGTGTCGTCCCATAGAATATGAAGAGGCCACATGACAAGTATTCACAATAGAAACCTCAATGATGCCTTTGAAGTGGAGACAGGAGTAAGAAAAGATTGCCACCTACTATCACCGATCATCTTCCTGATTATGGTGGACTGAATCATGTAAAAAACTGTGAGGAGCAAGAAGATGGGCATACGCTGACTGGACCGATGAAAAGACCCCAGAAGAAGATTTGAATTTCGCCAATCATGATTTATGTCTAATGTTGGACAAACTCGAAGATCTACAGGCGAAAACTAACAAGTTGACAGAAGAAGCAGGGCAGCAAAGGAAGACGGGACTTCCTTTAGGTGAAAGTAGAGAAGACGGAGGTGATGATGATACCTAACCAACAACTCCAACAACAACAACAACAAGCACCAATCACCATCACGGGGAGAAACTTAAGGGAAGTAGTCTCTTTCTCCTACACCTATGTAGGCAGCATCGTTTCAACTACAGGTGGCGTCACAGGCACAGACGAGGATGTCAAAGCCAGCCAGGATCGGAAAGACAGCAAGATAGACGATCATTAACCTAGAACCAGTGTAGAGATCTTATGCACTGTACTCAGCATAAAGTGTGAACAAGATCCGGATTTTCAACACCAATTCAGTCAAGTCAGTGCTTCTGTGTGATGGTTCAGAGACTTGGCGCATTACGAAAGGTATTTCCAACAAACTACAGATATTCATCAACGACTGCCTATGCTGACTCGATACTGAAGCTCAGATGGACAGAAAGAATTAGCAACAAGGAACTCAGTCTGGCATCGAACCAACCAAGAACCTATCACCCATCAAATCCGCAAAAGAAAGTGGAGATGGATTTGGTTTGCACTGAGGAGACCAGTTGGGGATATCATGCGCCAGGCCAGGCGCTCAAGTGGAACCCAGATGGTAAACGACGAGTTAGACCATTCCAAGTTGAATAATTATCTTGCTCATGTCACTTACAACTGCGTTTTTGAATTTATAGAGAACTTCAAATAGATCATTCTTCACAAAGAAGTTAGCACTGCTAATAGTGTTGTCTAGAAGAGACATGGAAATCTCCACAACTAAACTATTTAGGTCAGAGAACCCAACAAAAGCACAATAAGCTGCCTATATCACTGAAGTCGTGTACATACTTCCAAAAAGACGAAATGATTGTAACCACTAGAGGGCACGATGATCTGTGCAAACTTGAAAAGGGCGTCCGACAAGATAATTTCAGAAGTACTGTAGAAATTTGACAAGGGTCAGCATCTCTCTTCACGTAGTAAAATAGCGTGTCTCATACTTATCAAGTTTGCGACTAGCATAGGCGATTACACGTTCACGCCCATCTGGTGCCACCTGGGAAATAGCCGCCCCAATGGCATGGGCACTTGCATCGGTATCCAAAATGAAAGACCCAGCAGATGGTGACATATCCGGCTGGGCGAGGATAAGTGTTGACGTAAGCCGCGACTTTAATTTGTCGAAGTGTGCTGGCACTCTATGGTCCATAAGAACTTCCGCCCGCTCTCAGTTAACCAGTGAGGCGAGGTAGCCAGTTTGGTGAAGTTTGGAACAAATCGGCGGTAGTAGGGCACGAAACCGAGGAAGCTGCGAATATCGTGAGAAGAGTGGGGCTGTGGTCACTTTCATAATAAGGCGTGTTTTCCGGGTGTCATACGGTGGCCTAGGAAGACAACTTCATTTCGGAGAAAGTGACACTTGGACGGCTTTAATTTCAAGTTGTGTCGTTTTAAGCGTTGGACGACCGCCTTTAAGTTGGCAAGATGATCCTCTGGTGACTTCCCATGCGCAGTTATGTCGTCCACATATATATTAAACACTTTTGGGGGATCAACTCATCAAGTACTATCTGCACCAAAAGTTGAAATGTGGTGGGGGCGTTGTTTAGTCCAAAAGGCAAAGTTTGAAATTCGTGCAATCCTGTAGCGAGTACGAAGGCAGTTTTCTGACGGTCTGTTGCTTGGACCTCAACTTGCCAATACCCTGAAGCTAGGTCTAACGTTGAAAATAACTGTGCCGCACTTAAAGCATCTAAGGTAGTATCAATCCAGGGGATCTGAAAGTAGTCCCGTTTCGTTATAGCGTTTAATTGTCGGTAATCGACGCACATACGGATAGATCCATCTTTTTTTTTACCAGAACGATAATTTGTGAGTCAATGATAACGAGAATACTGACTGTGTATACTAGAGTAATAAAATTAGTGATAGTATAAAGGAGAATACAAATAATGTTCAGTATGATATAACAATGTTAACAGACAAATGGATAAAGTAGGTAAAAACTTGGAAAGGTTGAACAGCAAGGTTACGTAATAGCAGAGAATATACCTAGTGAGTAACTAAACAAAAGATAAACGTGAATATAGTGGTGTGAAAGGAGCGACAAAAATGAAGTGCAAGGCGGAAGAAGTGCATTCATTAGGTTTCTCTGGCTAAGGAATGGATTAAAGGCATACAAATTTCTTCTCAATACGGAGCTTCAGAGTTTTCATTTGCAAGATTATACCCTCAGGAAGGTTTTGTAGAATGTAGTGGTGAAGTCGTTCACCTTACCCACCAGGTGATCACCACCAACTAGATATGACACAATGAACCTCCTTACGGATTTAACGCGTCCTTCACCTCAGCCATCAAGGTGATTCTTCGATAATAAATTGATTAACTTCTGTAATTCTATGTCCCATATAACTAACTGTCTGTCTCCACAGGAGTAATTAATTCGAGGACGGTATTCATCATGAAATGATACTAGAACAAAACGTCTGTAAAGTGCTCACAAGATTCAAATGTGCCTGGCCTGGCACGTGATGTTCCCGAATGGTCTTTTCAGTGTATGCGCAATCCAGTCCATCTTCACTTTCTTCACCTGCATATTTGTTGAGCTATGGGTTCTTGTTTGGTTCGTTCCCAGAGTTCCTTGTTGCTTATTTTTTGTAACAATCAATGCTCCTCGATAATCACTGAGTATCATTTGAACAGATTTTTCATCACCTAACTATCGAATATTTGAATGATATTGAAAGTGATGTATATTAGACTGAAAAGCTTGACGGGATCTAATCGAAAACAATATAGTTATTCGCTTACATCTCTTCAATCCAACACCCAAACATGTTGCAGAGTATACAAGTTCATGTGAAAGACAAGATCTCACTGAATTCATAAACGAATTGTCTTTATAAAATACAATTCTCAGTCTGCGATTCATGACAGCTGAGAAAAATTGAATAAACGCTGTCCTTTCAAATCAACATAGAAATCATTCAAAAATGTTTTAGAAATTTTACTAACAAAAGGATATATAAGTAAGTTTTTATATAATCCCATATGGGATAATCCATTTCCCATGATATTCCTGATTGTGGTCGACTGGATCATACAACAAACAGTGAGGAGCGAGAAGAGGGGGATACGCTGGACTGCGGAAAAGAACCTAGAAGATCTGGATTTCGCCAGTGATGAGTTGCGTCTGATCTCACAAAAACTTGAAGATCTACAGGCGAAAACTAACAAGTTGACAGAAGAGGTAGAGTAGCGAGGACGGGACTTCAAGTGAATATAGAGAAGATGGAGGTGATGAAGATACCCAACCAACAACTCCAACAACAACAACAAACTCCAGTCACCATCAACGGGAGAAACTTAAAGGAACTAGCCTCTTTCACCTACACCTATCTAGGCAGCACTGTTTCAAATACAGGCGGAACAGGCACAGACAACGATGTCAAAACCAGTCAGAATCGGAAAAGCAAGACAGGCGTTTATTTGCCTGAAACCAGTGTGAAGATCTTCTGCACTCAGCACAAAGAGTGAACAAGATCCGGATTTTCAACACCAATTCAGTCAAGTCAGTGCTTCTGTGTGATGGTTCAGAGACTTGGCGTGTTACGAAAGGCATTTCCAATAAACTACAAACATTCATCAACAACTGCCTACACTGGCTCGTTATTGAAGATCAGATGGATTGCCAGAAAGAATAAGCAACAAGGAACTGTGGCTGGCTGGGAACGAACCAACAAAGCAAGAATCTATCGCTGAACAAATATGCAGTGGAAGGAAGTGGAGATGGATTGGGCATACACTGAGAAGGCCGACTGGGGACATCACGCGTCAGGCTAGGTCGTCGAGTAGAACCCAGATGGAATGAGACGAGTTGGGCGTCCGAGGGTGATATGGAGGAGATCGTGCGAGGAGGAAATGAGGGCTTCTGGGCTGTCATGGAGCAAGGTTCAAAAGATTTCGGCGAGCAGAGTTCACTGGAGACGTGCTACTGAATCCCTATGTTCCATTAGGAACCCAAGGGACTAATAATAATATTATAATAATATGGGGTAGCACCTCTCTACGGTACATATTGTATGTTAGAAATCTTATTATGTAATTAAGATAGGTTTTTTGCATACATCGAATTACACTTCATATGGATGTGACATTTGGCATCAACCATTTGACAAGTTAAGACAAGTTGTCACATGTAAACTAAAGGATATTGTATATCCCCATTAACTATAACTATGAGACAAGTTATTAGTACTGTGTAGCTTAAATACCAGTTGAAACTAGCTTATTTTTGTTCAGTGACTTGATAATAGATTATCTATACAATAACATTGCGATTATATTTGGTGAATTTAGTGGATATCATGAGAATGCACTGAGTCGTGTAGAATTTGTCAAAACCATACTGGATGTGTACTTGTCTATGCCATAGATAAGAGTAGGTATGGTGTATACATAAAATAAAGTGACTTGAAACGCTGGTGATGGATTAGCACAAAACACCCATCGACACACATAGGCACATAAAAACACCCAGTAACTTCTCATGCTATAACAAAGAGTAAATGCCTCGAATAACTTGTTCGCCAAATCTCCCACCTCGAGACTGAGTGATGCTAGTCAGGTGTAGGTAGTGGCTCGATATGTGTGGTATATGTACAAGTCATCACATACATAAAATGAAGCGACTTGAAGTGCATACGATGTATCAGGCACAATACACGCATACACACACACACACACGCACACTAAATTTTGAGGGATTTGTGGAAACTTGGAAATATTTCAGGTTGTAATTCATCGTAGACTGACATCAGTTGGAGGTTTCCTGCGTTCCTCCAACTGCTGTCAGTCTACAATGAATAAGAATTTGAAATATTTCCAAAATCCCCACAACTCCCTCGAAATTCATTTGAACTGGTGCTCATTGGTGACTAGCTTCGAGAGGTATTCCCGAAGTCCCAAATGAGAAGTCGTGACCATGGGAACAGTGCCTGATGGTGATGAGGACAGATACTCAATGATGACATTGGGTGGTGGTTGCGCTATATCGTGAGCTAATAGAAGTTGGAAATATGGACCACTGGATCCCAACCCAGTGACTCAATGGTAAAGTGCTGGCCACGGAGCATGAAGGTTGCGGGTTCAATCCCTGGGAGGGGATCATGGGTGCACACCGTTGAAGAGTCTTGTAGTGGGACGAAACAGCTGTCCAGTGTTCTCAAGTTCCCTTTGTTCTTCCAACTGATATCGGTCTACGATGAATAACAATTTGAAACCCACCAAGCTGTCATGCTGCAACAAACAATAAATGCCTTGAGTAACACGTTAGCCAAATCTCCCACCACGAGACTGAGTGACTCGAGTCTCACGTAGGTGGTGGCTCGATATGTGTAAGCCACCTGAGTTGATGAAGTTTCACTGACATAACAGCCACTGATATTCAAAATCCTGTCCATTTCTTATACTCGCCAACTAACTACCACACCCGTATCACAAACATATCAATCTCTACTTTATCAATATTATTATCATTATTATTGTTATTATTATTATTTGTCCCTTGGGTTCCTAATGGAAAATAGGGATTCAGTAGCATGTCTCCACTACACTCTGTTCTCTGAAATCTTTTCAACCTGGCTCCACGACAGCCCACAACCTCTCATTTCCTCATCGCACGATCTCCTTCATGTCACTCTCAACTCGGACACCCAACTCGTCACTTCCCATGGGGATTCCACTTGAGGGCCTGACGCGTGATGTCCCCAGTCGGCCTTCTCAGTGTATGCCCAATCCATCTCCACTTCCTTCCACTGCATATTTGTTCAGTGATAGATTCTTGCTTTGTTGGTTCGTTCCCAGCCAGCCACAGTTCCTTGTTGCTTATTCTTTCTGGCAATCCATCTGATCTTCAATAACGAGCCAGTGTAGGCAGTTGTTGATGAATATCTGTAGTTTGTTGGAAATACCTTTCGTAATGCGCCAAGTCTCTGAACCATCACACAGAAGCACTGACTTGACTGAATTGGTGTTGAAAATCCGGATCTTGTTTCACATGCTGAGTGCAGAAGATCTTCACACTGGTTTCAGGCAAATAAATGCCTGTCTTGCTTTTCCGATTCTGACTGGTTTTGACATCGTTGTCTGTGCCTGTTCCGCCTGTAGTTGAAACAGTGCTGCCTAGATAGGTGTAGGTGAAAGAGGCTAGTTCCTTTAAGTTTCTCCCGTTGATGGTGATTGGAGTTTGTTGTTGTTGTTGGAGTTGTTGGTTGGGTATCTTCATCACCTCCGTCTTCCCTGTATTCACTTGAAGTCCCGTCTTCGCTGCCCTGCCTCTTCTGTCAACTTGTTAGTTTTCGCCTGTAGATCTTCAAGTTTTTGTGAGATCAGACACAAGTCATCAGTGAAATCCAGATCTTCTAGGTTCTTTTCCGCAGTCCAGCGTATCCCCCTCTTCTCGCTCCTCACTGTTTGTTGTATGGTCCAGTCGATTACAATCAGGAATATCATGGGTGATAGTAGGTGGCAGCCTTGTTTCACTCCTGTCTTTGCTTCACTTCAAAAGCATCACTGAGTTTCTCCAATCTCTACTTACCGATAGAATATCACCGAAATAAGGAATCATTACACTTGTTATTTGATTATTCATGAGATATTGAATATTGATAAGAAGATTTCGAATAGATTCTGTATAATTATCATCATTCTCATTAGGTAGATATTGACAAAATTCTTTCCATATATAATATTTTAATTCTTCTACACCTTTCAATTGTATTCTAATATTATCATTTTTATATAACATAGAATAAATATAATTTGGTAAAGTATACATTGATCCTTTATCCATAAAATTATAATAATTATGATTATTGGAAATCAATGAATTATTCATTAGACTATTACTATTATTACTATTATTATTATTATTAGTATAGTATGTGTAGAACATATCAGGTTGTATACATTTCATAGCATTTTCAATAGTTTCCTTATCAATATACCAATAGAATAATTGAATTATGTTATTACAGAATAATTGGATCATTGAATAATTTTGTAAATATTTAAATTCATTATTATTATTATTATTATTACTATTATTAAGTAGTAATTTTAATGTAATTACAATTTCTATAAAATTCACTTTATACTTTGTAATTATTTGAAATAAGCATGTTAATTTCATTAAACAATTATTATGTTCAATTGTATTGTTATTGTATACATACCATAATGAATTAATATACGAATTGGCGGGAAAACATTTCTACACTGATTAATATAAACACATATACATTCCCATGTAGACTGATCAATGTTCAATTGTTTCTTACATAAATTCTTCATCATATCTCTTTCTAATCTATGCATTAAATTAGTTTTTAATTGAATTGAAAGTTTCCTATTTGAATATAAATGTTTCAATGTTTCAATGGTTGTTTTGTTTAAATCATCTACATCTGTATATATTTGTAAACAATTAGATATAAATTTACTTAATATATGAATAGTAGATATAGAGAAATATTCTAATTTATAATGATAATGAATATCATGATAGAATATATAAGCGGATATTATAAATTGATCTAATGAATGAATCTTTTTAGATAAGATTTTATCAATACGCTGATGAATTTCATCATCTTGGATATCAGTAATACTCCTTAAACTCATTATAATTTGATGTTTAACAGAAATCTTGAAGATTATATTCCAAGAGTGGAGATCAATTTCATCATTATTGGATATATATATATATATATATATATATATGTGTGTATAGATCACCTGTTGAATAACCTTGACCAGATTAACTTAAAAAGTAAATTCTTAACCTTAACAGGGCTAGTTTGAATAATTATAATGAAGGTGTACTTTAATAGAGTTCATAATGACCTTGACTGACCTTGAAATAGTCGTTTCCTCGTAATTTTCTAGTCATAAGCAGTAGGTAGGCGTTCACTAACCTGAAACTAGTGTGAAGATCTTCAGCACTTAGCATAAAGTGTGAACAACATCCGGATTTTCAACACCAACGTCAGTCACGTCATAGTGGTTACTTCTATGTGATGGTTCAGAGACTTGGCGGTGCTTTACGAAAGGGATTTCCAACAAACTACAGATATTCATCAACAATTGCCTATGCTCGTTACTGAAGCTCAGATGACCAGAAAGAATAAGCTACAAGGAACTCTGGCAACGAACCAATGAAGCAAGAACCTATCGCTCAACAAATATCCAAAGGACTGTGGAGATGGGTTAGACAAACACTGCGGAGACCATTCGGGGATATCGTGGGTGACATAGAGGAGATGGTGTGTGAGGAAGAAATGGAAGCTTGTGGGCAGTCGTGGCGCCAGGTTGAAAAGACTACAGAGAACAGAGTGGAATGGAGGCGTGATACTCAATGTTCCACTAGGAACCCAAGGGAAAATAATTATTAATAAATAATAACGTTCAATTTTTATCAGCTTGAACCTACTTCAGCCAATACTATGTGATAAGTCAGACGGGGACTAGGCATGCGTAATATATGTGCCACCTACATGAGTTGATGAAGCCTAACAACCTTATCAACTGAATTTACGCTTCTTCATAAAATTGTAAACCTAACTTCTGGATAACTCATAATAGTGACACCATGACACAGGGCCAACTTAACGAAGACAACGCTGATCGTACACCTGAAACCTTCTCATTTCCTTCACCTTTAATAGACATTTTTCAAAACCGTAGAGTAGAAAAGAGAGCAATTATCATTTCGCTTATTACTATTATTCCTTTAATACACGTAATCTTCATACACTGTGGTGCCAACAGATTTCTCATACAAAATGAAGTAAAGTTTTGCATGTGTGGAGAAGAATTAAAAGTCACATTGAACAATGTCACCATTTTTATATAAATAAAATCAAAGTTTTCATCTTCATACACCTCATACAGACTAAGAACACATTTCTTTTGATATGCAGAAATTATTATTATTTGTACTTTGGGTTCCTAATGGAATATAGGAATTCAGTAGCACATCTCCACTACACTCTGTTCTCTCCAGCCTTCTCAACCTGGCTCAATGACCACCCACAAGCTCTCATTCCCTCCTCATACGATCTCCTCCATGTCACTCTCAACTCGGACACCCAACTCGTCTCATTCCATCTGGGTTCTACTCGACGACCTAGCCTGACGCGTGATGTCCCCAGTCGGCCTTCTCAGTGTATGCCCAATCCATCTCCACTTCCTTCCACTGCATATTTGTTCAGCGATAGATTCTTGCTTTGTTGGTTCGTTCCCAGCCAGCCACAGTTCCTTGTTGCTTATTCTTTCTGGCAATCCATCTGATCTTCAATAACGAGCCAGTGTAGGCAGTTGTTGATGAATATCTGTAGTTTGTTGGAAATACCTTTCGTAATGCGCCAAGTCTCTGAACCATCACACAGAAGCACTGACTTGACTGAATTGGTGTTGAAAATCCGGATCTTGTTCCACATGCTGAGTGCATAAGATCTCAACACTGATGTCAGGCAAATAAACGCCTTACATTAAGCCTACCTTAGTAATGCTTATTCTATCGTATTACCAAGATAGTCTTCAAGTCTTATCTTTTATTCCTATCATTATCTTCCTTATTATTGAATCCCTTTATGTCATATGTGTCCTTCCCCCACTTCCAGTTTTCATATAATACTGCCTTAACAAGTAAATGTGTAGGGGATCAGATTGTTCGAAATGTATAGCGCTAATACATCACATATTCTTCAGATAATCTACGTCTTCAAATTACATTATCCAGATTCATATAAAGGACTAATTTTTTCAAATAAACGCCTGTCTTGCTTTTCCGATTCTGACTGGTTTTGACATCCTCATCAGTGCCGCCTGTATTTGAAACAGTGCTGCCTAGTTAGGTGTAGGTGAAAGAGGCTACTTCCTTTAAGTTTCTCCCGTTCATGGTGATTGGAGTTTGTTGGAGTTGTTGGTTGGGTATCTTCATCACCTCTGTCTTCTCTACGATCACTTGAAGTCCTGTCTCAGCTACTCTATCTCTTCTGTCAACTTGTTAGTTTTCGCCTGTAGATATTCGAGTTTGTGTGACATTAGACATAAATCATCTTAGGGGAAATCCAGATCTTCTAGGTTCTTTTCCGCAGCCCAGCGTATCCCCCTCTTCTCGCTCCTCACTGTTTGATGCATGATCCAGTCCAGTCGACCACAATCAGGAATATCATGGGGGATAGTAGGTGGCAGCCTTGTTTTACTCCTGTCTTCGCTTCACTTCAAAGGCATCACCGAGTTTCCCATTGTGAATTACTTGGCATGTGGCATCTTCATATAGTTGCTGAATGAGGTTGATAAAGGTTTATGGTATTCGGTAGTGTTGAAGCAGTTTCCAAATTACTTCTCGGTCGCCGCTGTCAAAGGCCTTCTCAAAGTCACTGATGCAGAACTGACAAGAACACCTAATAAATCGTTAAGAAGGTCACTTCACAAGAGACCAATGAGGAATGGTCAACTGATAAGCTTTCGTAGCTGGGTGCCTATGAGTCGTAAATGGAATCTGATAACATCGCTTACCACTCGCATTAAATGAATCTGAAGTTTTGATGTTTGGAAAGACCGGAAAACAAACAAAATCAACGTATAAGCTCCCATATAGATATATCGGTTGAAGTTTCCATAGAATTCTCTTCCCTCAAACCGATGGGGTCTGAGTTACGTAATCTGTATGGATTGCCTAAAATTCATAAAACAGATAATCCTTTAAGTCCTATACTCTCCATGTTCCGTTCACCTACACATAAAGTGGAGAAATGGTTAGCAAAAACTTTAATTCCTATTCGAAATGATTTATGTAAGTTTTCTTTAAAAGATACAATGCCATGTACCCCTTAATTAAAACCATTGACATTCTTTGTAAGCGTATATCGTCCAGTAATCCTTCTTTCCCTATCCCCTCAACATGTTTGAGAGAGAGCTGTTATTATTGTGTACTGATAAAGTTCATTTCACATTTGAAGGTGAACATTTTCGACAAATAGATGGTGTGACTATAGGAAGTCCCTTAGGACTATTGCTAGTGGATATTTACATATCACACATTGAAGGCTTGACTGGTGATCTCATTAATAAAGTTACTCTCTATAAGCGATATATTGATGATATAATAGTGATATGTGATAAGCATGAAGATGCGACATGTTTGTTAGAAAGACTTAACAACATCGTATAGAACAACATAAGCTTAACATGTGAAGAAGAGAAAGAAAACCGTCTACCATCCTTGGATATACTCCTAAGTCGTAGAAAAGATGGTTCAATAAAACCGTCGATCTACAGGAAACCTACTTGAACAGGTCAGTATTTAAGTTTCCATAACTTTTGTCCAACCCAATACAAGTGAGATTTGGTAACTTGTCTATTTAAAAGGATCCAGCGTATTTGTACGAAAGACTCAATGGATGATGATGATATTAAAATACAAACGGGAACATTAGTGGAAAATGGATATCCATTGAAGTTCATAAACCGCTGTGAAAATCAGCAAGGATTCAAACCTAATCTGTACTCTATTTCGAAGAATTGCGTTTATATCGCGTTACCACACAGAAGAGAATCTACAAGCATAATATTAAAACGAAGGTTATGGTCTGCTGTTAGCAAAACGTACTATGCAGCTAGGCTTATCGTATTTGAGAAGACCAAACACCTACTGCAACCTAGACCTCAACGCTGTATAAACGATTGCACCACATCCCACTGTGTTTATAAATTTACGTGTGTGTGTGTATGTGTGGACAAACATACATACGGAGGACTAACCGTGATATGCACTTGACGGTAGGAGAATATGTTCCAAAAATGGCTACGAAAGCAGCTGGATTCACAATCATTGATAAGCGTAGATGGCAGACAATCATCATCCGTATCCACATCATTGATAAGAGTCACAGGATTGATATTAAAACAGCCTTTACAATTTTGTATAGAAATTGTCAGGGGCGTACACTTAAGTTTGTTGAGGTGCTAGCCATAAATAAATTTAATCCCCCTCCCCAAATGTGTGTGGAAAAACAGTTTGTCCTTACATTAAGCCTACCTTAGTAATGCTTATTTTATCGTATTACCAAATCTTATCTTTTTTCCCCTCTCATTATCTTCCTTATTATTGAATCCCTTTATGTCATATGTATCCTTCCTCCACTTCCAGTTTTCATATATAATACTGCCT